ACACTACACACATTTCAATGGCTACACTACACACATTTCAGTGGTTACACTACACACATTTCAATGGCTACACTACACACATTTCCATGGTTACGCTACGTTCATTTCTATGGTTACACTGAAGATGGAGGTGATGAAGATGGAGAAGATGAAGATGGAGGTGATGGAGCAGATGGAGTCATAGTGGAGCAGGTGGTGATGGAGCAGATGGAGGTGATGGAGCAGGTGGAGTCAGTGATGGAGCAGGTGGAAGTGATGGAGCAGATGGAGGTGATGGAGCAGGTGGAGTCAGTGATGGAGCAGATGGAGGTGATGGAGCAGATGGAGTCAGTGATGGAGCAGGTGGAGGTGATGGAGTCAGTGATGTAGCAGGTGGAGGTGATGGAGCAGGTGGAGTCATTAATGGAGCAGATGGAATCAGTGATGGAGCAGATAGAGGTGATGGAGCAGGTGGAGTCAATGATGGAGCAGGTGGAGGTGATGGAGCAGGTGGAGTCAGTGATGGAGCAGATGGAGGTGATGGAGCAGATGGAGTCATTGATGGAGCAGGTGGAGGTGATGGAGTCAGTGATGGAGCAGGTGGAGTCAGTGATGGAGCAGGTGGAGGTGATGGAGCAGATGGAGGTGATGTAGCAGGTGGAGTCAGTGATGGAGCAGATAGAGGTGATGGAGCAGGTGGAGTCAGTGATGGAGCAGGTGGAGGTGATGGAGCAGATGGAGGTGATGTAGCAGGTGGAGGTGATGGAGCAGGTGGAGTCAGTGATGGAGCAGATAAGGTGATGGAGCAGGTGGAGTCATTGATGGAGCAGGTGGAGGTGATGGAGTCAGTGATGGAGCAGGTGGAGTCAGTGATGGAGCAGGTGGAGGTGATGGATTCAGTGATGGAGCAGGTGGAGATGATGGAGTCAGTGATGGAGAAGGTGGAGGTGATGGAGTCAGTGATGGAGCAGGTGGAGTCAGTGATGAAGTCAGCGATGGAGCAGGTGGAGGTGATGGAGTCATTGATGGAGAAAGTGGAGGTGATGGAGTCAGTGATGGAGCAGGTGGAGTCAGTGATGGAGCAGGTGGAGGTGATGGAGTCAGTGATGGAGCAGGTGGAGGTGATGGAGTCAGTGATGGAGCAGGTGGAGTCAGTGATGGAGCAGGTGGAGGTGATGGATTCAGTGATGGAGCAGGTGGAGATGATGGAGTCAGTGATGGAGAAGGTGGAGGTGATGGAGTCAGTGATGGAGCAGGTGGAGTCAGTGATGGAGTCAGTGATGGAGCAGGTGGAGGTGATGGAGTCATTGATGGAGAAAGTGGAGGTGATGGAGTCAGTGATGGAGCAGGTGGAGTCAGTGATGGAGCAGGTGGAGGTGATGGAGTCATTGATGGAGAAAGTGGAGGTGATGGAGTCAGTGATGGAGCAGGTGGAGTCAGTGATGGAGCAGGTGGAGGTGATGGAGTCAGTGATGGAGCAGGTGGAGTCAGTGATGGAGCAGGTGGAGTCAGTGATGGAGTCAGTGATGGAGCAGGTGGAGATGATGGAGTCAATGATGGAGCAGGTGGAGTCAGTGATGGAGTCAGTGATGGAGAAGGTGGAGGTGATGGAGGTTTAATATTCTTCAGGTTTTTCTGAGTGAGACCATCAGAGACCATCATCATCATCATCATCATAATTGTCATATCATCATCGTCATCCTCCTAGAGCTCATACAGAACTCATACTGAGACCTTCATCTTCATCATCTTTATCTTCATCATAATCGTAATTTTCACTATAAGTCAGCATTGTCATCATCTTCATCATCTTCATATTCCTATCATCATCATCATCTTAATTACCATAATTGTCATTCTTGTCATTATCGTCACCATCTTATTCCTCAGCATCATCATCTTCCTCATCATCTTCTTTGTTGTCATCACCAGTATTCTTCTCTGCATCTTCATCATCATCGTTATGTGACTAAATTACTTGCAGAATAAAATTATAACAGATCTGACGCTGTTATCTCTGATCAATATCTGCTTCCATAATCTGAGACGACATCAGAAGATCTGTGTCAAAAGATGATTGTCAGTAAAAATGAGTGGCAGCCAATGAGATCATTTTAATATTACAGTATTTAGTTCACGTCACAGAAATATAGAAACGTCAGAAAACATCCGTCACCAGATTATTATTATTATTATTATTGTTATTATTATAATAATTATTATTATTATTATTATTATCAGCAGTAGTAATGTTGGTGTTGTTGTGTATAATTAAGAGAATTTGACAGCAAAAAGACACAACAACAATGAGTGTTTATTTAAAAACCTAATGTTTAATAAAAAGCATGTTTTTAGATGTGTTTGCTCGTCCTGCACTGAGACGTTTTGGCTGAAAGAAACTGCAACACAGCACAACACAAAGCTGCAGCATTATATTTATTAGAAATCATTTGATTGTTATAATAACTTAACATAATTTCAACCAAATTCCAGTAAGCGGGGGAGGGGAGCCGCATCCCGCCGCTATGAACATAAACACAATCCTCCCAAAAATGGCAAGAGCTTTTAACGTTTAATCAAATTTGATATTAAAATTGAGTATTGTAGCATTTGGAACTGAAATATTAGATTTAAATTCTTACATCTAAAACTAGAATGTTTTACATGTGAAAACAGTGAAACGAAATTTAAAATGTTTTATTTCATCTGACTGTTTAATAGTGAGTCTGTGCTGCAGTAACAGCCTCTACTCTTCTGGGAAGGCTCTACACTAGATGTTGAACATTGCTGTGAGGATTTGATTGAGCATTAGTGAGGTCAGGTACTGATGTTGGATGGTCAGGTCTGGGTCACTCCAACTCATCCCAAAGGTACTGGATGGAGCTTCATCACTCCAGACAACACAGTTCCACTGCTCCACAGTCTAATGCTGGGGGGCCTTATACCCCTTTAGCCTATGCTGGGCATGGAGACCTCAGGGTCATGTGTAGCTACTCCCGCTGTGTCCCGTTCTATCGGTCAGTGCTTTTCTATGGAGATTATACAGGCTGTGTCAGTGAGGAGTGACCTTACAGCATCTGAACTCACTCAGTCTGGATGCTTTAGAACAGATATTGACGCTGGCATTTGGACAAAAAAGGAACTTTAATTTATTATTAAAATGACATAAATAAAACTCACAATGAGTCAAACAAATACAAATAGGTATGTACAACAAGGCACTTCAGTGTTTCAGGACTTTCCATTTCACGACGATACGAGGCACTTTGTCTTTTTTTTTTTAAGCACACATTATATTCTGTATGTTTTATGCGTATATTTAATATCACCAACAATGAGGATGAATGTTAATTTAAATTTATATACACACATTTACATTTACTCCATTACCAACATCAACTTTGGTCTTATTAATATTATAGTTAACTTATAATTTCCATTATTGGACCATATAAAGACATTTTTTGTGTCTGACAGTAAAAGTTCTGTCATTTCTATAAAGATATGAGCAAATGCAAAGTTGAGTGACGGTCTTTGCATCATGTATTTGTTCAGTCTCTTCTCTGAGCCTCGCTGAGTCTCAGCTAAAGCCCCCTTGACGCTCCTCTGGTACATCCTCTATAACCACCTTAGGAGGACCTTCATCTCAGATCGAGGCACCTCCACCGTCTTTGTGGAATAGCAGGAGGGTCTTTTAACCAGGCCGAGGGTTGGAGGACGTCTCAGACGGTCAGTTCTCAGTAGCTCTGTGCCACAGGCGCCCAGGAAGCCGTGAGTCGGGCGATGGAGCTCTCGAACTGGGCGTCGCCCACGCCCACCTCACTCAGGCCCGGGTCATACATGGACGACGGAGAGGAGACGGGCAGAGAGGAGGTCAGGCCAGAGTAGGACACTGAGGATCCTCGCAGGAACTGTGAGGTCAGGCCCCCGGCGATGGAGCCTGAAGCTGATCCGGAAGGGGTGAGGGTCGTCCCGGCGACGGACCAGAGGCTGGGGTACTGACTGTGGGCACACACAAGAGGTTAAAGGTCAGTGAGCTGGTCAGTAAACTGATGTATTTCGAATAAAAATTATGCAAACAGTTGAACGAACTAAGTTAAACTGGAGTGTTTTAGAGGTGGAATAACTGCTCATTGGGTTACAGGAGTGTGTAATTAATTGTTTCTTTATCTTCAATAATTGGCCACGTTTGAAGAGGGAGATGTTTTATTTACATATAAAAGTGCTCATATATGTACTGTGAAACTACTCCTCTCAATTGTTTACGCAGAACTGAACACCTAATGCATTGTGCAACATTAGATTTGATAGACAGAAAAAACAGTAAATATTATCTATATATACGTATGTAATACATATACAAAATATATAAACTAGTTTAAGATATAGATATATACATAAATACATAGAAATACATATAAAAATATAAACATAAGTATATATGAATATGGGCCCTTTTATTGTGTATTTTACATAGTGTACCTAAATAAACCAGTTTAATGTGTGTATCAGTGTGCAGACTGACCTGGTGTTGGAGGTGGTGTTGGTGCTGTGAGCGAGGGTCCCCATTCCACTGGAGTTGGGGATCTGAAGGGCCGACCAGCTGTCATGGGTAGGAATAGATCCTGAAGAGTTGTCCATGTAATTGTCTACAAAGAAATAAACAGCTTATTAGAAACTAGTAAGAAACATCAAAATCTTTTATCACTAATATCTCTAATATCTCTTTTAGCAGATGATTCCATATTTTTCTGTTCATGACTGACATATTCCCGCTATAAGTAAATGAAAATGCTTTAGCTGTAATAAGTAAATGTACAGTTTGAATATCGATGTGTTTAATAAAGAATTCAGTGAGAAATGAAGGGCATCCTGGTCTTACTGGTGGTAGTGCTGCGGTGGGGGTAGTGGCTGGGGTAGGGGCTCGCTCTGTGGCCCCGCAGGCTGGAGTAGCGCTCGCAGTACGAACTGGACGAGTGGGCCGGGGCTCCGCTGAACTGCGGCGGGCTGCTGCTGGGGCAGATGGGGCCGTTACTGGGCAGGAACCAGCCGCCGACTGCTGGGACAGAAAGAGGACCATGAGTAACTGCCTTACTGACCACCTTCAGCTCACTGGAATTAGCAGAGCACTGAATTCGAATGTGTGCTTCGTTCCACTTAAAATACATTATATTAACACTCTTGTTGCCACTAAAGGACAAGATGATGCTGATTTTATTTTATTCATGCTGAAATTAAATCTATTTTTTGTGCAGCAACAGAAACATTTGGCAGAAATACAAATATTAAAAATGTTTAATAAAGTCTGCGGTGCTGCGGTGATTCTGCGGTGAGTATGAAGTGACTTACGCTGTGAGTATCCAGACTGCTGATTGTCACTGCTGTGTTCCTGAGCTTCCTTATGGTCACTGCTGAGGGGACAGAAAGTTCATATTATCATTTATTATTTCATTTGGAATAACAGTGTAATATAATACACTGAACATACCAGCAAAACCAATAGTTAATGGTATATTGTAACAAGTTAAACATGTTAATATATTTAAAATATATAATGGCTGTCTTTGTTCTCTTACCGCTCTTTAGCGTCTAGGAAGGCCTTTGCGAAGGGGTTGTGCTTGATTTTCAGGGCTGTGATCTGAAAAAAGAGAAACAGTGAGTTATTTTTTTAAAAATCAATTAAGATTTAAAAAATTACTTAACATTTCCTCACCACGCCGCCCATAACAGTCCGTTTTAAGGTTAAAGTGACCCTCACCTCTTCGTTTTGGTACGCTGTTACTGCAATGAACTGAGTTTCGGGGAAAGACTGACTGCTGATCATTTTCTGGATCCCGCCAACCTTCACGATGTGGATCCTGGGCTCGTACTTGTGCAAGGAGTTCAGCATAATCTGCGGGAAGAAGAAAAGAATGTGAGTTATATCACAGTTACATCAAACTTCTGTCTCTAAATGATGTGAAATTTTGAATTTTACATTTTAAACGTGTCACTTGGTTGTTCATGAATTTACTCATGTGAGCCATGAAGCATTTTGTTCCAGGGTGGATGGAAAGTTCACTTGCACATTAAAGGTGGCTCCACAAGTGAAATGTATCAGTTTAGTTCTTTTAATCCTAACTTTAACACCTTAAATTCTGACTTTAATCCCTTAAATTCAAAATGTAATCCTTTTATATCTTAACTTTAAACCATTAAACACTATCTTAATCCCTTAAACCTCAACTTTAACCAATTAAATTGTAAACTCTGATCTCTTCAGCAATAAATTTAACCCCTTAAACAGCAAGATTAACACTTTAAACTCTAACTTTAACCCCTTAAACTCCAAGTTTAACCCCTTAAACCCTACCTTCTAACTCTTAAACTATAAATTTAATCCCTTAAACCGGCTCACCTGTCCTCCCCCATTGAGCTTATTGGACAGTTTGACTTTGCTGAAGGAGACGGGCGCCTTCATCCAGTGCGCTCCGAAGTTGGGGGAGTCCGGGTGGATGTAGACGCAGCTCGGGCTCTGCGGCTCCGGCTTCCCGCCCGGGACCCACTCTCCGTTAACGTACTTCCAGCGGTTGTTATCGGCGGCCACGAAGTCCAGCAGCACCGAGTACATGGCGTTCGGGTCCAGGCCGCTAACGCTGGCCCTGAGCACCGGGAACATCCGCCTGGAACCCAGACATTTCACTGCTTTACACGCTTACAAAATATATTACAAAATATATCCAACACATTCACTTTATTTACTTTACTTGTCAAAATTTACTAGCTTCTTATTTGCCGTTCCACCTTAAATGATATCAGGCGCCAGAACGGGACTGCGGCATCATTTAAGGTGGAACGGAAAATTCGAAAGTTCACATTCGTCAGCTAAATGAAACCTGTTTAGCATCGGGTAGATTAAAATTAATTCGCGATTAATATGTAATATTAATGTCTTTACTACAGTAGATTTTACCAGTAAGTCGCTAAGTAGCTTCTTATTGGAATTTTCAGGGCCACCTTAACTGGTGGGGCAGTTAATGTAACTGCTGCACCATTTAAGGTGGAACGGCAAAGTTTCGGCTCCGTCGGTTTTGGGGCAACTTTTCAGACAAAATCACCTCAGAAACTAAGCCTAGCGTGTTAGCCTGCCTCACTGTTACTCAAATCTGTTAAAGCAAATAAACACACACTGAAATTACCTCAGAAATGTAGCCTAGCATTTTAGCCCGCTTCACTTTTAGTGAGAAAAAGTGTGAATTAAAGGTAAATTAAACTAATTTCTTACACAGCTAAGATAAAAATCGGGATCGTTCACCGCCTCAGTCAAATAAAGGGTCTAATTCTCTGAAATCTCTACCTCCCCGTCTTGGTGACGATCATCTCGTTGGTCAGCTCTTTAAACTTGCTCCACAGCTCCGAGTCCTCCAGGGTCAGTTTAATGTCCCGCTCCGAGGCGTCGCCCTTCTCGCTGCCCTTCTGAAACTCGCTCTCCACGGCGCTGAGGAGGTGGTCCAGGCGCTCGTCGGGGTTGGAGGAGCTCATAGTGTCCAGGTTTGTGGAGGCGAAAACGACGAAAGTGAAAGTCCGCTCGGTGAAGCGCTGAACCGCCGCTGCGTTCTGACCCGATCAGGCCGCCGCGGCGTTTTAAACAGCAGGAGCGTTGAGGGGGGCGGGCCCGACACCGAGAGGCCACGCCCACTGAGCTAATGGCCCGTGGTTTCTAAGCAGCCGAACGACTGAATGCAAATTAGCTTAGCATAGCCTAGCATCATGTAGCCTAGCCTTCCCGGCCTGCAGGGCTCAGAGCAGAGTGCGGTTCAGTCCGATTCACTGCAGCGGTGCTGTTCTGTACCGAAACACAGTCCACAGTGATGAAACAGGGCTGCGGGCTGCGTCTCCAGTCCACACATTTTGGGCTCAATTTTGCCTCATTTTGTAAACCTGACCAATAAATTCAGCTGTAAAGAGCAGTTTTATCAGCTGAGGCCTGTTTCTAAACTCGGTTCATGATCTCACTCTTTTTTATTACAGTGCGCCTTGACTGCTGTAGTTCTGTCTGTGTCCGTCAGTCCTCACTGTCCCGTCTGCAGCTCGTCCAAAATGCTGCCGCTGGACTCCTTACTGCCCCGAGGAAAAGACACAGTGTCTCAGCCCTCATGGCTTCTGCACGCTGGCTTCCCCTGAAGTCTAGAAGTGATTTTAAACCTTTACTGTTCGTTTTTAAGGTGGTAAAAGATCTGAAGCTGCAGAATATTAATGATATGATTAGCTGTACACACTTACAGAGAAAAGTTTTTCTAGAGTTCTTTAGTAAAGAAAAAGAACACTCAAAGAACACTGTGCATGGTGAAATCGGTCTTCAGATTGATGGAGAATGTGTTTTATATGGTTCTATAAGGCACCTTTTTGGAAAGGGTTCTATATAGTACCAAAAAGAGTCCTTCTGTAGTTACAAGCTTAATACTGTAACAATAGAAGATCCATCTGTGATATTAGTGATATGATTAGCTGTATATTAGTGATATGATTAGCTAGCAGGTCCTTCTGATCCACCAATAAGCTGCTCACTGTCCGTGTCTCTCGATTAGAGCTCGAAGGAGGTCATGGGCTGTGAAATAATTTAGCTCCTAATGTGAGATCTGTGTCAACCGGTGGCTTATGACTGTTTATAAACTGTGTAATTTTATGTGCCTATACTTCTAAATTAATTTTAATACATTTTTATTGTACTTCTATGTACTATTCCATCTTCTTTTTATCTCTTATTGCATTTTTTTTGCGCTTTTTTTTGACAGATTTTCCACACGATATTGTTATTATCAATGATTCAATGATTAATTTTTGTTTGTGTTTTGTTTATAAATGTTTTTTTTTGTTTTATTAGCTGTACAGCACTTTGGTCAACTTTGGCTGTTATTAAATGTGCTCTAGAAATAAAATTGATGACTTTACAGTGATTAAAAAGAGATAAAAGAAAAAACAATAGTTCAAAAACAACAAACAAAAATACAAAGACAGGACAGAAATGTGCATGAACAGTAAGCATAGTTCAGAATGTAGAATTTAAACTGCAAACTTTAGTTGCTCTACTATAATAAATGAACTGTAAAAATATGGAATCATAGAGTTTAGGTGTTTATAGTGTGTATTAAGTGTGAGTGTACAGTGTTTATAGTGTGTTTACAGTGTGTATTAAGTGTAAGTGTACAGTGTTTATAGTGTGTTTACAGTGTGTATTAAGTGTAAGTGTACAGTGTTTATAGTGTGTTTACAGTGTGTATTAAGTGTAAGTGTACAGTGTTTATAGTGTGTTTACAGTGTGTATTAAGTGTAAGTGTACAGTGTTTATAGTGTGTTTATAGTGCGTATTAAGTGTGAGTGTACAGTGTTTATAGTGTGTATTAAGTGTAAGTGTACAGTGTTTATAGTGTGTTTACAGTGTGTATTAAGTGTAAGTGTACAGTGTTTATAGTGTGTTTATAGTGCGTATTAAGTGTGAGTGTACAGTTTTTATAGTGCGTATTAAGTGTGAGTGTACAGTGTTTATAGTGTGTTTACAGTGTGTATTAAGTGTAAGTGTACAGTGTTTATAGTGTGTTTACAGTGTGTATTAAGTGTAAGTGTACAGTGTTTATAGTGTGTTTATAGTGCGTATTAAGTGTGAGTGTACAGTGTTTATAGTGTGTATTAAGTGTAAGTGTACAGTGTTTATAGTGTGTTTACAGTGTGTATTAAGTGTAAGTGTACAGTGTTTATAGTGTGTTTATAGTGCGTATTAAGTGTGAGTGTACAGTGTTTATAGTTCGTATTAAGTGTGAGTGTACAGTGTTTATATTTCGTATTAAGTGTGAGTGTACAGTGTTTATAGTTCGTATTAAGTGTGAGTGTACAGTCTGGGGAGGTAAAGCAGGTCAGGTGTGCAGATTATAATGAGTGATCATAAACAGCATCACAGATGTTATATTCATAAAGAGTGCAGCGCAGGTTAAAGAGCTTCAGCAGCTCAATGTTCAGACATACAACAAAATAATATTAATAATTTAATGATTAAAACCATGTATCCTTTTAACATTCTTTTTATTTATTTATGTATTTACACAATTTGAATATGACTGTTTTATACACTGATAGAAACTGGCCATGAACAAAATGGAACAAACAACATTGAAAGAACGTTCTCCTGTAACGTTAGCATGTTAAAGATATGAGGTTTCAACGATAACATGTAAAAGTATAAATATACAGAATTTCAAAGTATAGATTTATAAAAACTATATATAAACTTGACTTTTCCGTCCTCCTGAAACTGAAATTAGGCTGTGGAGTAAAAAATATCCTTTTATTTTATATTTCCATGGAATTAAAATGCACATAACTTACATGGGAAATGTTTTTATGATGCCTTATTATAAATGCAACAGAACAAAAAAGCTAAAAAGACCTGTACTGTTAAATGAAACTATTACATCAAGTACTAATATATGGCTCATTATTATTATTATTATTATTATTATTATTTAGTTTAGATTTTTTAAATTTTGTTTTACTTTGTAATTTATGTGTAGATGTATGTATTGTCATTTCGTTTAAAAAGGTTCCCTATAAATCAATATAAATCCAAATGTATTCTTCCAAGATGTAATTGGGACTGTATATTTACCCCATACATGATTGTTTAAATGAATAAATATATTTTAAAATACAAATACGTGCACATTTGATATGAACAATGCCTTGGAAGTGTTTGTGTGTGTGTTTTACAGTGAACTCATCGCTCTTCCACACAATAGCGGGCAGAGAGCCGCTGTCTGCCACTCCGTCTTTGAACTCGGTTGTATATTTGCGGATAAATTCAGTCTTTTGTGTCCCAAATACACACGCGGTGTGTTTACTGAGCAGGAAGCTCCGCCCCTTTAATGGGGCCTCCTGCCGTGCGATTACTTCCCACCCGTTTACCGGATCTTGCGCTTACGATTGGCTGCTAGCTCCTGCTCACAAGCAGCTAACCAATCGCAGCGCAGCGTGAGCGACGCGACCCGCCAATGAGGAGGCGGGACTTGTCGGAATACGGGTGTGGGAAAAAGAAAACGCACAGCACTGCTGCTAGTAACGCCAGTAATGTTTTGCTAACAGCTAAAATCCCGAGCTCAGTCCGTTGTAGATTATATTTTACGTTATTTGGTACATTTTTAAGTTAACAACAGAAATGTTTTGGCTTGCTGTGATTTCGTAGAATGTGCAGTAAACACAGCTAAAACGCTTTACACGACATATTCACTGTATCTCTATATTATAAACATCTTTAATGATTTATATTCGATTCTGTTTTTAGATATTTGTGCTTAATATGCATAAAACAAAAGTCACCAGGCAGGAGGCTGAATTGAGCTTCCTGAGCTTTTTATTCAAACGTTCCTGAGGCCCCAGAATGTAACTGCTGCACCATTTAAGGTGGAATGGAAAATTCCAACAAGAATGAAATGAAAATATGTGCACAGCTGAACAAGTTCACATTACACATCCACACAGATTAATTTCAGCCCGCAGAATGCATAAAAGTCCTTAGGTTTAAAAAAAATGCCTAATTCACAAATCCCAGGCCTCCTCTGTGACCTCTGTACTCATTATTTTAGCAGTGAAGGTGAACTGCTTTGTATCTCCTCTGTCTGTCTGTCTGTTTCTGCTGGATTTGAGAGTGAATGAGGTTCTGAGAGGGTCTCTGTGGAGTGTGACTACTTTACTGCTCCACTTCCTACTGCGCTCCTCAGAGGCCGTAAATGCAAAGTGCTCCCTCACACCTTTCCATCCCGCAGATTCAGCTCGCTGATTCCATCTTTTGTCTTTTGTGTTTACAAAGCTCCGGATTGCTTCACACCAGCCGTGTCCAGAGTGCTCACCTGTAGCCCTTCCTTGAGCTTCCTGCTGCGGAGCCCAGAGACGCAGACCTGCTCTCCACCCAGACCCAACCGTCTATAAAGACTGGAGAGAAGTACGTTTACAGCAGCAAACTTTATCAATGTCCATCTGATAAATCACTGGTAATGTGACGTTCAGGACATTTTACAAGTTTCACTCAGTGTTTACCTGCTGTGTGGACAGTAGCTCTACTAATAAACACCTGAACCCCTTAAACTAAACTCTCATTCAAATCCCTTAAACTTTAGACACTTAATCTTCCCAAACCCTAACGGTAGCTCCTTAAACCCTAACCTTAATCTTACCTACTTAAACCTTAACTTTAACCCCTTAAACCTTAATTTAAATCTCCTTAACCCTAACTTAAATCCCTTAAACCTTAATTTAAATCTCCTTAACCCTAACTTAAATCCCTTAAACCTTAATTTTAACACTTTAAACTCTAACTTTAATCCCATAAACCTTAATTTAAACCTTTTTAACCCTAACTTTAATTCCTTTACACAAAACTCCAACCTTAAACATTTAATCCTCCCAAACCCTAACTGTAGATTCTTAAACCGTAACTTGAACCCTTGAACCCCAACCTAAACCTTTTTAACCCTAACTTAAAACCATTAAACTTT